ACTTGGAGGCCTGAGTTTGGCTCCCTAAAAAAGACAAGAATGGGAATTTCCTGACAGTACAGTGGTTAGGACTTCATGCCCTCACTGCCAGGGATCTGGGTTTAACCCCTGGTCAGGGAACTAAGATCCCATAAGCCATGTAGAGTGGCCACACACACACACACACACACAAAACACCAAGACGAGAGCAGCAAGAGCACAGTCATAAAGATGTGACAAACAGTGTCCAGTGGCTTTACTTGCATCATCTTATGCCATCCTTTCCAAAACAGTAACTTTTGCAATCTCCACTTCACAGAAGAAGGACCTGAATCTTAAGGATAGTGGTAACTCGCCCAAGGATACACAGTTGACTGATTGTAAAGCCAGGTCTGTCTCACATTAGAGCCCAGTGCTTAATCATTCTTTAAAATTCTGTGACTGTCTGATAGGGCTGGAGCATTCCTGGGAAGATGGAGGGCCCAGAGAACAAGGCACAAGGAAATAAAATGAAAAGGTGGGAAGGGCCAAATTCAAGGTCCAGGCTTTGAATGCCAGCAGGAATTTGGATCTGGTTCTTCTGGCCAGGGTTTTTCAACCTCAATGCTGTTGATATCTGGGGCCAGATAATTCTTTGTTGTTGCGGGGACCAGGGGTGGGGGAGGGGGTGTCTCTCCTTTGAATTGTAGGATATTTAGCAGTTTTTAGTCATTAGATATTGCTAGCACTTCTCCCTCCCCTACAGATGTGACAATTTAAAATATCTCCATGCGTGCTTAATTGTGTCTGACTGCAACCCATGGACTGTCGCCCACTAGGCTCCTCTGTCCATGGGATTCCCCAGGCAAGAATATTGGAGTGAGTAGCCATTCCCTTCTCCAGGGGATCTTCCTGACCCAAGGGTCAAACCTGCAACTCCTGCATTGCAGGCAGATTCTTTACCGTCTGAGCTAGCAGACAGTGCCCTGTGTCCCTCTGGGGATTGTATGCAGAACTGGTCTCCAGTTGAGAATTGCTGCTCTAGGCACTGGTGGGGTTCAGAGTTTTGAAAGGAATGTGAGATGGTAAGTACTAGGAGTGCACCCTTAACACTAATAACCTATATCATTATTATACTCAAAATCAATACCATTATTATACTTCCCTGGTCTGGGAAGCTCCCACATGTGAGAAATTGTATTATGTTTCACTGCTGATAAATTGGAATCATCTATATTACTTTGGTAACATTCCTGCAAACTCTGTTCTTTTTTTTGTGAAACAAGTAGATTAAGTTAAACATGTGTTTCTCAAAGGCATTGTGCCTTCTTTGTTTGTATATTCTCAGTGCCTAACAGACTGAATGTGAAATGAATGGCTGTATTTTAAATTTTTATTATTTACATTATTGCATTTATCTTTGGGACATCATGCTGACATCAGAGATTTGGCAGAGGTCTGATATACACAGTATAAGATAAGCATCTTTGCAAGGAAAGAAAGCTATCTTTTAATCTTTTGACCCTAAAATTCTACAAATTGATAAAATTCATAGACTTCATTTATAGGTTTATTTTCCAGATAGGTAGGCCCACATGATTTTTTTGTGGCCTTCACAGAGTTTTCTTCAATCTGTAAAAATATAGGACTTCCCTGTTGGTGCAGTGGTTAAGAATCCGCCTGCCAATGCAGGGGACATGGGTTCCATCCCTGGTCCAGGAAGATCCCACACACCGTGGGGCAACTAAGCCTGTGTGCCACAACTACTTAGCCTGTGCTGTAGAACCCATGAGTCACAACCACTGAGCCCATGTGCCACAACTACTGAAGTCCATGCACCCTAGAGCCTGTGCCCCACAAGAGAAGCCACCTCAGTGAGAAGCCTGTGCACTGCAACAAGAGAGTAGCTCCAGCTTCCTGCAACTACACAAAGCCAGGGCACAGCGACAAAGACCCAGCATAGCCAAAAAAAAAAAAAATCTGTAAGAATTTACTGTTCTTTGTTCACTGTATAAAGCAATTTGGGGTGACAATATAATTTAATTCAACATTTACTGAGCTATCCCTAGGAATTAGATACTAGGAGAGGAATGAAGGCACAGTTTCTGCCTTCCAGATGCATCTAATCAAACAGGATGTCAGGCTCACCAGGGCCTGCCTGACCTTGTTCTGTCCCTTACCTGCAGTGTGACCTTGGGCCAATCAGGGCCATATTAAGACTTTTGTAGGCCCTAGGCACTTATGCCTTCATGGGCCCCAACCTCCATTAAAAAAAAAAAAAGTACTTAAATATATATTTTTCTCTGCATGGCATAAAGACAAATGCAGGCTGGATTCATTATTATATATATTCATTTTAAAATTCTGATTTAAAAAGAAATTAATGTTAAAATGTTTTCTTGGGCCTAAACACTGTCTGCTGTGCCTAATGTAGAAGTTGGCTCTGGGGCCAGTTACTGACCTCACCTAGTTCTCATTACCTTCACTTTAAGATTTTAATTTTGAAGTGTTGTTATGAGGTTTACTTGAGATACTTAAAAGCTGCATGAGGGCAGAAACCGAGTCTTATTTGTTCTCCACTGCATGCCTAGAGCACTTAACAAAGAGTAAGCATTCAGTAATATGAACAGGAAATTATCCTCAAAGTGCCAGAATACAGTAAACACTTGACAACTATCACATTTCTTCAAACAGATGTCCTAGAAAACAGTTCAGAGCATATATAATAAGTATCAGAAAGCTGGAATCTACGGTACAAACTCTGTAACAGAAATTTGGATCAGGAAGGATGGTATGGGACCATCAGTTCACATACTTTTTAATCTTTTATTTGTCAGTTTAGACATGTCCTGGGTCCACTTAATTGCACTCATAACACAATCTGTCATTAATTACATAGATAGGGAAGTGTTGAAAACCATCAATTTTCTTCTCCTGTATGGTGTGTTTATATATGCAAGGAGTTGTACCAGTACTGCTGTGCTTATCTCCAAATCCTCCGCAGATTTAATTACAAAGCTACAAAGTGAAGGCATAAATTATGCACCAAGGCCCATGTTTTGGAAATCACTGTGTAGCCTTGGGAATTAGATAGGAGGTTATATCCTTGTAATTGATATGCTTCCACTTGAGGGCTGGAATGCTGTGGAACTGTGAGAACTTTTTTCTGTCTAAAGACAGTGTGTCTGTAATTCTGCAGTGCTAGCTGGATGTTTAAACTCTAAACAATAGATATTAGAAGGAAAAGAACTTTGCAAACAGTATTTAATCTGGCCCAGGTCTCCCTGTTCTAGCCTCATCTCCCACCATGAATTCACTGGTTTTTTACCTTACCCTACCCCATCTGGAAGGATGAACCATTCCCCAAATGTGTGTAGTCTCAAAACACTGTCTTTACTATACTGTTCTCTTTGCTTGGAATATTCTTCCCCTCTTCATTCTGGAGTAGGAAATGACAACCCACCCCAGTATTCCTGCCTGGAGAATCTCATGGACAGAGGAAGCTAGCAGGCTACAGTCCATGGGGTTGCAGAGAGTCAGACACAACTGAGCAACTAACACTTCATTCTGGGAAACCCCAGAGAGACTGCCGTATTCCTAGTAGCTACTCTACTGTGTTAGTTTCTCCTCCCTAAGTAAGAAAGCAGTTTTCATGTTGGTAAATTTGGCTTAAATGCTATTTCTTGTGGAAGCCTTTGCCACCTTCCCTAGAAAGAAAGGAAAAAAAGAAGGGCACCTGGGTATTAGACACCAGTTATATATTTATCATCTTATTTAGTCCTCAGGGTAATTCTGTGTGAGAGGTATTCTTATTCTCAGTTCCCAGCTTAAGAATCTGAGGTCTAAAGTTTAAGTATCTTGGCCAGTGTTCCATGCCAGTCAAGGGTGGAGGTAGCTCTGGAATTCAGTTCAGTCACTGTCTTTCTCAGGCAAATAATTTCATAATTGGAGATTTCAAAGCCTTCTATCATACCCCTCCCCTGACATCTCATTGTATGATAATTTATTTATATACCATCAAAATCTATCTCCTTCACTAAACTCTTAAATGAGAGACTAAATCTTACTTCTCTCTGTATCCTGAATGTGTGGCACAATGACTGGCATACAGTGAGTGCTCAAAACATATTGATGAAATGAGGTGAACAATAACAAAGCAGTCTGCAAACCATTTTCAAAAATATGAATTCATTTAACTATAAATAAGCATAAGATAAAGCCCTTATCCTTGGAAGCTAGCAATATAAATGAGAAAAGCCATATGCAGGTGAAAAAGATAATGAACAAAACACTACTAGGAATAACAACATTGTATGACGATATGAAAAATAAGTCAGCTGAGGCCAAGGAGAATGAGAACTCGGAAAACAATTTTAGACTTGGAGAGAAAACCATCTTAGAGTTCCATCTGGGGTACTTGCTGAAACATTTTAAGCGCCTTGTCTTATTTCATCTTCACAAAAACCCAGTGAAGTGATACTGCCTCTATTTCCCAGAAAGAGAACAAAGTCTCTTTGTGTGAGAGGTTACATGTTTTGTCCAAGGTCACACAGCTGGTTTATAGCAGAAGCTATTCTATTATGTTCCAGTCTCTAAGAGTCCTCTTCTTTTTTTATTTTTTTTCTTTTTTTTCCCCCTTTTATAATAGCTGGATTACTCTATGTCAATATTTTAGGGGATACCAATAATTTCTTTTGACTTTTACAGGTAACAGAAACAGTTGAGCAAAGGTCTACTTACTATACATCTTGGTGTAGTAGAATGTTTAGTTGTGGTAGTATGTTTCTTGGTTTCAGTTGGAATCCAAGTAACTTCTTTAGGATGTGATGTCTGGAAACTTGGGTGGGAGTAGGGCAGTGAGACAGGAGAGCGAACAAAGCCAAAAACGTATACAGTAGCAAGCTAGTTACCATGGTAGCCAACTGGAGCTCAGTTATGCCGGGGAACTCCGGGAGCCAATGTATAGGACACGTTCAGGGTGTCTCAGTGGAGGGGCGAGGAAGCTGGGCTCTTATCCACCAACTCACCATCCACATGGAGTTCAGGACAGCTTCTTGTGACATTAAACCTCTGAAATGTTTAGCTTGCTTTGCCTACAGGCCAAGTATGTTCTCTGGACAAGGAAAAAAGATTAAAATCTTCAGGCAAAGAACTGTAAGTATTCCCTGTAAGTGGCTTCAGTGTATAGAAGTGAATGCCAATAAAAAAATAGACAGCAAGCCATTAGCATCTACTACAGAATGTAATGGGATACAAATCTTGCTTCTACCACTTCATTCTACATTCAAAAGAAATTCATTAAATATTTATTGTAAGTCCATCACACATTAGGTCAGGGATCAGCAAACTATAGTTCAAAGGCAAATCTATCCCACTACTTATTTTGTAAATAAGGTATTATTGTAACACAGCCATGCCCATTCATTTATGGTTTTACCGTACAATGGCAGAGTTAAGTAATTGCGATAGAGAAGGTCTGGTCTGCAAAGCCTAAAGTATTTAGTATCTGGCACTTTACAGAAAATGTTTGCCAACTCCTGGGCTAGGTACTTGGGATACTAAGATGAATAAAAATTTTAAATCTCCTGCCTTTAGAGAGTTTATAATCTAATGAAAAAGACAGATGTGTAAATCAAAGGTTACAAGTGCGATAGTAGGCATTCAAATGAGGGAATATTAATCTAACTAGTTGGGGGGAGAAATCAAGAAAATCATAGATGGAGGGAGTGGGGCAGTCTAAAAAAAAAGAGAAAGAAAATTTTCATGAAAGACAGGACAAACATTTAGTAGAACCCCTAATGATGAGTGGTATTTTTTATACAAACATACAGCAGGAAAGACATTTAACAGAGAGGTGGCAGAAGTAGCGAAGATGTAACATAGATCAACAATGAAATGAATTTAGGAAACTAAGTGTCATATTTGGATATGGGGAAAGGAGTGACACAAAAAGTAAGACTGAACAGTAAGGAATTAAATTTTTTCTTTTCTTTAGAAATATGAATGGCTCCCATAGTCACTGTGGAGGCCAGGCTGAAGGGAGCAATAGTGGAGTTGATAGGTCCAAGCTATGATGGAAATCTAAGCATGCAATGTGCAGGCTTGAGTCAAGGTGCTAGCAGTGGATATGAACAGGAGAGAAAGGCTATTTCTAGTGCAGACTGATACACTCCACCCTGGCAATAGACTGGCTTGGGCGCCTTCCCTGTGCTCCCTTAGTACCCTTCTTCACTGGGGTAGCACGAATGGTCCTGGGTGGCAATGTGTTGCATTCCTTGATGACAGGAACCATCCATGACTGATTTTTGTCCTCAGTGCTTGGTCTGGGGCTTGACACAGAACTGCTGCTTGTGAAGGCTACTTCCTGAAAACAGTAAATGAGTGTACTGCAAAATTTTGGCTGCAGTAACTTGTCTCCAAGTTTGCAAAGTGGACTTGCAGTGTCAGCTCACATGGAGACCTAGACAAATACAGAATGAGGAACAAGGCAAAGGAAATCTGCAGGGTTCCTGATTGGGGCAGAAATCTGTTCTGGCAGGATCTGATAAGCTATCTATGCTTGAACTGTGATGCTGGCTTATCCCAGTTCCTTAAGTAGGCAGGCATATTATGATTATAGATGACAAATATCTGGAAAATTCAGAGCTGGCGTAATTACCTTGTGGTGTTTTTCTACTGTATTCTTTTTTAAAATTCCTTCACAAATGGCATTTTTTTCTTATTATAAATACAATGTCTGTTACTTGTCAAACATTTGGAAAAGACTGAAGAATTATAAAGAAAAAAGTAAAATCAACCACAATCCCACAAACTGACTACAGATGTTTTTCTATATAGCTTTATAGTCTTCTGGAAAGATGTGCACATTTTTAATAAAATTAGAATCATACTACATATGTAATTTTTAACCATTTCATATGTATGTATAATAATTTTATATTATACTTTTTTCATTATGTCTCAAACCATCTTTAATCACTGTACTTCAGTCCATCATACAGATCTATTACAACATGTTTAACCTTTTCCATTTTGCTGGGGTTATAGGTTGTTTCTAGGGTTTTAGTACTACAAACAAGATCCTAGCACATAAATCTCTGATTATTTACTTACTGACCAATTCTCAGAAGTTCTTGATGCTATTTTGCTGCAGCAACTGGAGAAACTCCATCCTGGCCCTGTGAAGGGATATCATATCGATAGATAACTGATATCCACAAATAATTTCTAAACTCAACTTAGCCTCTCTAGTCTTTCGCCTAGTCCCCTGGAAAGGTTTGGGAATCACAGAAGAACCTCCTTTTATCATTTTGTCACTGAGCAACTTCTTTCATTAAGGCCGTGTCACCTGTCCCACAGCTTTCCTCTCAACTTCAACCCCTGCCATCAAGTGGGTAATTTCAACTTCCATGTAAATGAATTTTCCAGCACAGTGGCCTCACAATTCCTTACTTCTATACCTCTTCACACACTTCAACCCTTACCTTTCCATCACCTGGAACTGTTCTGCCCCTGAAATCTGAAGCTCCTCTGATCATAACCTTCTGCCACCAGGCTCTCAATCTCTTAAACCTCAGAGGGGATCCTCTTGACTCTTTTCTCCTATTCTATCCTCCTTGCCTGTACTTTCACTTTTCTGCTACAATCAGCCTAGATCTCATGATCTCTCTCACCTCAGTCAGCACTCTCAACTCCTTTTTTCCCAGTCCTCTTGCCACCCCTACTCTCTAAATCCCCTTGCACATGTGTGTGCTAAGTTGCTTCAGTTGCTAAATCCTCTTGAGAAAGAGAAAGTGAAGTTGCTCAGTCATGTCCAACTCTTTGTGACCCCATGGACTGTAGCCTACCAGGCTCCTCTGTCCATGGAATTTTCCAGGCAAGAATACTGGAGTGGGTTACCATTTCCTTCTCCAGGGGACCTTCCCAACCCAGGGATTGAACCTGGGTCTCCTGCATTGCAGGCAGACGCTTTACCCTCTAAACCACCAGGGAAGCCCACCTTGGATAATTCCAATTATGTGCTTTCTCTGTTCTTCCAGTCAAGTTACTAAGAATTGCTGGGGGGAAAAATTTCCACAACCAGACAAACCTGTGCTACTAATAAACTCAACTAGACTAGATTTTCATTACTACTAGGAAATTCTTTCTTCATGTCACAGGGTCCCTCCCTCTCACCTTTCATTTTTCATCATCTTCCCAAAGTTCACTGTCTAGTCTATTCCCTGTCTCCCCACCTCATTTTCCTCTCTGATTATCCGCCAATAACCTTATAAACAGAGTTCACAGGGAAGGAGGTTGCTTCATTTCTTGCATAAGACCTTGAAATGTTCTCCTTCAGTCTTGGCTTCCCCAAACCCTCTGTTCTTTCTCTAGTCTAATTGTTCTTTCTCAGTCTTTTTTCTTGATTTCTCTTTCTGTCTTTCTTTCCCCCTTTTTAAAATGTTTCTGTCCTCCAGGATTCCCTCCTGAACCATACTCTCTGTTCACATTTGCTGGTGATTTCAGAGCCTCCCATGCCTTCAGTTACCATCTCTGGATTAAAACTCTTGAACTTGTAACTCTCACTCAGATTTATTTCCTGAGCTTCTAATTCTATCCACTTGCCTGCTGAACACCTATTTCTACCCAGCTGTGCCACATATGTAAAATTCAGTATGTCCAACATTACATTTATCAGAGTTCCCCAAACTCAACCTTTGACTTTGTTCCTAAGCTAGAAATCTGGAGTCCCCCTTGATTCCTTTTTTTCCTAATCACTTAACATTTCTCCTCTCCATCATCTTCTGTTTTCTTGACCATGGGCTTCTTGAATCCAGCATGACATCCATCCTGGTCCCAGTAGATAGAATTGTCTTCCTAACACGTCCTGACAATGTTACATACATGATCACAATGCATTGTGTATATGAACTCTTTAAGGGTGTGGTGAGATCATTGCTATCTGCTTAGAGGAGTGTGTAATCTGCTGCAGGACATAGCAAAGGGTAAAATTAGTTCTACCTGGTTGTTGGCATAGGGGGATGTTTGAAGAAGCCCTCAAACAGGAATTGACATTTTAATTGGGACTTGCATGATCAGTAAAAAGTCCCCCAGGCAGAGGATATGGGAAGCTCATTCAAAGAAAAGGGAACACAGGTAGCCTTTGAACAACATGGGTTTGAACTGTGTAGGTCCACTTATACCTGGATTTTTTTCTATAGAATACCATGGTACTATCTGAATTATGGTTGGTTGAACTTGTGGATAGGGAGATATGGATAGAGAGCACCAACTCTAAAATTACACGAGGATTTTCCATTCTGCTAAGAGTGGGTGCCCCTAGCCCTGCATGGTTCAAGGGTCAACAGTAACAGGAGAAAAGTGTTACATCTCAGTCACATCCGACTCTTTATGACCCATGGTCTTTGGCCCTCCAGGCTCCTCTGTCCATGGGATTCTCCAGGCAAGAATACTGGAGTGGGTAGCCATTTCCTTCTCCAGGAGATCTTCCTGACCCAGGGATTGAACCTGAGTCTCCTGCATTGCAGGCAGATTCTTTATTGTCCAAGCCCCACCAAGAAAATCAATAGGAGAAAAGCAAGGAGCTAAATTCAAATCAGTTTCACAAGCATTCAGTGGGGGCTGCTGGGTCCCATGCAGTGTTCTCACACTGGGGATATACAGGTGAATAAGTCACTGACCTCAAGGATATTATAGACTTGAGAAGCTACTTTTTCCTTGACTTTTACTAGGAAAGGCGGCTCAGGAGATTTAGCCCCTTAATCTCTATTAACTCCTCTAAATCCATCCAAATAAATGCAAAATAAATATAAGTGAAAACTGTTCCTAGCAAACCAGCTCCCCTTGCTTCCCCTCACCAGGCATTGCCTGGTGCTGCTGCTAAATTGCTTCCACTGTTTCCTTATTGTCTGTATCAGGCACTGAGCTAAGGTGAGAATGTATATATGACCAAGTCCTCAAAGAACCCACTGTCAAGGGGGGACTTTCAGCCTCTGTGAACCACGTGATAATTACAGCAATTAGGTGTCTCAGACTCTCTGTTAGAAAGTTGCTCAGAGAATAGGTGGGGCACAAGAGAATGAGGGGTCAATTCCATCTGAGGGTTGGGTGGGGGTATGTTTGTGAAATGTTTAAAGCCCAGGGTAGCTGGAATGTGCAGATATCTCCAAGGGGACTTTAGAAGGGGAGGTCAAAAGATAAGTGCATTCCTTTTTTTCTCTCCTTAAAACAGAGTCTAGACTTCTTAAAGTGTTTTCTCTCCCTTCCCCTGCTCCCCTCTGCCTCAAAATCTAAGCTGCGTTTTCCTAAACTTAACATTTCACTTTCTTGCTCTCTAGCTGGAGGAAAGGGTGGGAAAGAATGGGGATTTGTTTGTGGGCCAAAGAGACTGTCTTATTTTGCTTTTCCTATATTTAAACTCAATCTTTTGTTTCCTCCACACTCAGCAAAGGATAGTTAAGTTTTGTAGGTGTCTGTGTTTTCTCTTAAGGAGGAAGCATTTTGTAAATATTTTATTTGATGCCCAACAATGGCCAATTAAGAAACATGACGACAACAGCAATAACAAAAAGCAGTTGGTGGGAAGTTTAGGAAGAGAAGGCAACAAACCAGCAACAACAGAATGCATTTTGAAGCAATTTGCACCTACAAATCTTGGCTGTGGAAAGTTGGAAGTACATTTTCCTGGAAACTTAAAAAAAAAAAATCACATTTCTAAACAGCTGTGTAAAGGAAGGAAACTTTGTATTGAGAAATACAAGCCGTTTTTGCTCTTCCTTAAAAAAAAAAAGAAACTTGACTACATAATTACTCAGTTGCGCAAGTTTGAAATCTTGGTCTTACCTCTCCCTCCCTTTATTCCCTCTTCTCTAATTCCATCATTTAGTGAGTTTTAAAATCTTATTTCCAAAACATTTTTCAATAACTATGCAGTACAGTATCTTTCCCATTCTCTATCCTTGCCATCATTATTCTCACTGTTCACATTTAGACTATTGCTACTACTTGCTTGGCTTTTTAAAAGTCTCTTAGTTTGTCTCCTTGCTACCAGTCTTGCCCATCTCAGATTTGTTCTCAGTTTTATAACCAAAATGATCTTTTTAAAAATCACATCTTTAACATTTATTCTAAGTGACAGGATGAATTTGTCCCAGTTCCTGTCCTTGGTGAGCTTACAATGTTTAGTGGTAAACTTGTCTCTACCTTCTGATTCTGAGCCTGATCCTCATTTTCTGCTCTGCTTCAGCTGCCATCTCATTTAATGAGAGGCCAGTCACTGAGGAATGTGGGAATGAGAGCTGATGTGTTTCCACCATGTTTAATTTTAGCTGATGATCTAAAGCCACCATGTAGCTTGATACTTGGTGCAGAATGTAGAAAAAGTGCTGTGCAATTGGACATGGTCTTAGGAGTCAAGAACTGTCCTAGCTCCTGGCTCACCCTGATGACCTATGTTTTGACATTTGAAATTAAGTAGAGCCTGCTGAGAGCTTCCCAGGTGGTTCAGTGGGTAAAGAAACTTCCTGCAATGCAGGAAACCCAGGAGATATGGGTTTGATTCCTGGGTTGGGAAGATCGCCTGGAGGAGGGCAGGACAACCCACTCCAGTATTCTTGCCTGGAGAATCCCATGGACAGAGGAGCCTGGTGGGCTACAGTCCACAGGTCACGAAGACACAGATGAAGCGACTGAGCGTGCATGCACAGATTATGCTGATACCTCTGTGAGCCTGATAAAAGTTAAAACTGACTTAGACATTGATGATGCTGCCCGTGTCAGGTCCAAGACCTTTATTTACACATGAACAATGCAAACATAGCTTGCAGCTGGGGTGAAATGACTGTGGGGTGACAAATACCTAGATTCTAATTCTGGTTCTGCTGTTTGCTAGCTATATAACCTTGGGCAAGCCATTCAATAACTACATGTCCCAATGTCCTCATCTGTAAAATGGGTGTAGTAATACGAATCTTAAAGGATTGATGTAGGAATGAAAGGAGAAAATGTAGGTGATGTTTCTTAGCACAGAACTTGGAACTTAGTTTTTGGTGCTTGCTTTTGTTGTTGTTGTTTGTTTGGCCATTGGGCCAGTGCAGCATTGGAAGCGTGGAATCCTAACTGTAGTATAAGGGAGTTAGAGAAGACGAGGTTCAGAAAAAGAATGAGAGCGGCAATTTAC